TTTTTTCTCTCCCCCACATATGATAAATAACTCAACAGACAAATTATGTGGTCCCTAATCTCCTGTTTCGATCCAGTATAACAAGCAAGATACTGTCAATATGCTAATACTTCATTTAAACATTTTTATATCCAAAAAGCTGTAATTACCGTGTCGTTAAGGCAGGATCCTGCCTAAAATGTGACATTCCGGTTTTAGCTATGATTAATTAATAAAAACTAGGTTGTCTAATCTTCACTTTGATTGGCTATTTAAGGGTTAATCAAATCAATGCAAACTGTATAATCCCTTTTACCACATGCATCTTTTTGCATGGAATTTATATATAAAGTTACTTCCTTTTCATACTTGATAGTGTGACTGCACAAATCTCGACTACTTAGGCTCAGTTATCGATAAAAATCTTGACAATTTAGGGCCAGTTGCAACAAGTATAATCGTGTAGTACGGGTTTAGTACGTGAATAAATAGATATTCAACACTCACTTGGCACGATTGGAACTGTGTTTTTCTACTTGTAATCATCTTTTGTAACCTAATAATCGTGGTTTTGCATGGTGTCTGGGTTTAATATTCCCCGAGTGATGGTAACTCATACTTTAGTGTCAAAACGAGCAACTTATTTAATCAATTTTGGAAACAAAACACTTAAAAGCCTAGCCAAACATGCTGTGTCGTACTTTAACGTGCTTAAAACGGTGTCTTTGCAATAATTATGGTATAAAAACTCCTTGTACATTAGCAACCCTACACTATTGAATTATTGTGGGAATCTTTTCTTCTTTTCTTGAGGTGAAAAAGTAATGTCTGAGGGAAATAATGTTAGCAATAAAACAATTTTATCCTGCAAATGGCTATCTACCAAGTTGTCCCATCATACTTTACAACGTTAATGTCTGAAAACAGTGTCTCCAAAACAGACCCCATTGATAATGTTGAAAGCGTCATTATCCTACAACGTAATGCTAGTTACGTAACATTTGTTGTCATCTCACACTTTTTGTCAAATTATTCATGCATTGTCAAGCACGTTGTGACTCAAAGCGCATCACATGTACAAAAAATATCCTACACAAACTTGTGTCAAGCACACTCACTCTAAAAGTTTCCGATCCTGTGTAAATAAAGGCCGCGTTTGGCCATATACCTATATAACCTTAGGAGACTACGATATTTAGTCAGAATAACGTTTTAAAATCTTGTAAATTGTATTGTTCAATATGACCTAATATAGTAAGTAAATGTACTAAAAAGAACATGTATGATTTGATGACTAGCTCTCTTTTATGGGACTCCACTACTTTATTTTCTTCTACCTTTTACAGCAATTACAATGCCATGAAACATGTGTCATTGGGGGATATAATACATGTACATATACAATTATATGTTCATAAGATGACAGACTATTGTTGCAAGAAGTAGAGTACTTGGATTGTACTCCTGCCAGTCCTTGCATTATAAGTTGATGACATAATGATTTTTTTTTCAATGTTGTCCCTTTCTTGAAACAACTAGATAAAGCGTAGTACAGTATAATTACATTAAAAAGTCAAAAATCTCCATCATTTTTCAGTATCCAACAAAATAATCCAAAAACCCTCACTAATAATATTCAGATATTATCCATTCCCTTTGTGTATTTACCTTAGCCAGTTCTGATGGAAAAGCTCTAATAGATGAAGTCTTTTCTTTGACCTTTTTAGGCCTTGAGACGATATATATATGTTGTCGAAACCCGAAAACTTGGGCTTTTTTCAATGGTTGTGTCGATTATCCCATGCTTTATTTCTTTCACTTTGATGGACACCAGCGATTTTACTCACCAATTCATCTTTTTGGGGTGATTATGTGGTGATGCATTGGTCTTTATCCAGTTTCTGTTTATACACGCTTGTCGGGCAAGTGCTTCAAATTTTAAGGACACTGCTGATGCATTTACTTCGCAGAATTATTACTGTCAATGTTGCAGCGAATAAGAGAGTGGTTCAAATATTTCTTGTTTCTACTTATGAGAAGTGTTATCATTGTCCCTCAGATATATTATATGTTTGGGATAAAATATATAAAAATTTACATTTTTCAATGGGATAATTAGAGAAATGCAGCATTCATATAAATGGACTTATAGTTTAAAAGAATCCGTTAGGGCTTGAAGTCTGCATGTGCCAACATCATCATAAAGGCATTAGCAGAATGTTTGGCTAACTTTAAAAAACAAACTTATTTTTATACGCAAATTTAGTTTGCCTTATACAAACATAGAAGCAGCAATGCTGGGAGTAGATAGGGAGAAAACAGAAAATAGAAGAGATACTGGGATTTGTACTGATGGAAAAGAATAGCTGAATAGGATTTAAAAGCATGTTTAACACACTCGACTAGACATGACTAACAAGATTAAGGAGGTGCTTAGTTGAACACAAATGACAAGATTAAAGATGAAAGATATGATAGGATTTATCAATTAGTGCTCGGTTGAACATGATTAACAAGATTAATTAAGTATGAAAGACATGATAAAATTCAGTGGTTTAGTTCCATTCAAGATGTCAAACTTGTCATAGAAGTTAACTCTAAAATAATTTCCTTTAGTTTATTTCTCCTTTAGTAAACTTTTAATTGCAGTGTAATTGGTTCATTCGTCACATTAGAGGAGAAAAAAACCCTTTAACCTATAAGACAGATTTATTAGTATTGGATAATATTAATGAAAAAGAAAAGGAATTAAAATCTTCTTGTTTATATTGTTTAATCTTGTTCAGTATTTTGGACGAACAAAGTTTATATATGTGAATGTACGATATTAGAGAGAAACTCCACTAATTAAAAAAGATTTCATAATTCACTTTGAGAAAGGAGTTCATGCAGATGATGCATAACAATATTTTTACCAAAAAAAAAGAGGATTTGATTTATTTATTAATTAATGAAAGATTTCTGATAGCATCAACAGACAACATTGTTGAAGCAATTTGCCTAAATAGCTTTTTACAAGAACATTACCATTTGGAAATCTTAACTAGGGCAACGCTTAAATTGTAATCATGTCTGTCAACTGGTCTATAAACCAAACTAACCAAACCATTATATAAAAAAAAAAAAAATGAATAATATATTTTCAACATGACAACTTTGAGCAGTGAATCAATGGCTAAATGGCCTGCAAGAAAAAAACCCTTGAAATGAAACTTGCGTTCCCAAATAGGAGAGAAATACATATAACTAAATCACGATTGGTGGGATATGCTAAATTCAATACATTAAATTGATGGAAAGAATGGGGAGCATAAAAAAGAAAAAAAATTGGTGACCTGCGTTGTGGCCACAATTCACGTGGCAGTAGCAATAAAATGAGTTTGTCCCTCACTTTACAAGGAAAGGATTGGAAGACAGAAGACTAGTGATAACATTTAAGTGTTGAGAGGCCCATATTTTTTTCATTATAGCCAGCCATGTAAGAGAGGACAACCATTAATTTAAAGTGGAAAACATGACAAGATGGATCTAAAGTAAGAATAAACAAATTAATCCACCAAAAAACTTGTTTTTTTTTTTTTTTTTTTTTTTTTGCTTTCGTTTTTGGTTATTGGTCGAAGCTTTAAATTGTGTAAATAAAAGAAATGAGAATGCATGAACAAGCATAGGGTCAAGTTGAGATGAATTAAGAGAAAAATATACTTTTCTTTTCATCCAAACATATTTTTATTGGTTTTACATTTTTATTGAAATAATGAATTCAGTTGGTTTAAGCAAGATCGATGATGCTATTGAACTATCTTCAACACAACCATTCCTTAGAGGGAGGACAAAACAAGTAGTGAAATGAGAATGTCTCTAGATAATATGGTTCATATAAGATGAGGATGTTAGAAAATTGAGATGACCTTCTCTTATTAATTAATAATATTTGAAATTATGCATGATTATACACAAAAGATATTTTTGGTTTTTCCTTTTGCTTGCATAAGAACCTGCCCTTGAAAGAGAACAAAAGCACAAATCGTTCGGTAATAGACATCCCTTAGGATATTAGAAACCACTAAGTATAGAAATCGAGATCTTTCCAAAACTAATTCATATTCGAAGAGTGGATAATTAGGGTTACAAGGACTCGGATTGGGCCAACGTTTACCAAAATACAAGTATTCACAAATTTGTAAGACCGTATATGAGGTTTACTTCAACTTTGTAGTGTCTACTACATGAAGAACATTAGCTCCAGATATTTTCTCAACGGTAGGAATTAATGAACTCAAAATAAAAGGGTTCGCATTGACCATTAGAACTTGATTGCTGAAATGGTCATAACATGTTTTGCATAGATTTATAGATGAATAACGTTGGTAAAAATTAAAAAGCTCGCTCTAGATTGATTAAAAACAAGAATTATTTGTCATTACTATTGTAGTCATTTCAAACCACTATAATGTCCACGGTTAATTCCATGCTTAGATTTATGTTATTTAATTTCTGTCATCTTTCCTAATCGAACACAAAAGTATTGCTCCTAGTCTGTGATATAGACCATAGAGTGTATAACAAGTGATTGGTTATTGGAAGATAAAACCCTTTTAGCCCATCGTTTCACGTTGACGGTGGGACAAGCCAGTGGATCCATTACTAGAACAAACACACTCTGGACCATGGAAGTGTAGTCTAAAAAGTATCTCTTTGACAAGATGATTGCAGTCGTATGGAGGGGTGTACATAGATTTATTTCTGTTTAATGAAGAATAAAAAAAAATGGGTTCTATGAGAGAGAGAGAGAGAGATTTGGTAAGAATTGGACCAAGGATTGTGGGAGACATATTCATGCAAAATTTGAAGAGAAAAAATTGTAACCATACATAAGCGAATTGGGTGTCTAGATAGTGACAAGTAATATGTCATTACTACGCATAAATCCGTGTATCGACGTAGGTATTCTACAAAAATTTGAACCCTCATCCTTATAGGCAAAAATGATTGATATTATATAGGTTTATTTTTAAAGATGTCTTATTAAATTTAAGTTCTGGAGTCTTGATTAAGAAATTTAGGTGGTGGTTCAATTGTACTACAGTTTTACCAAACCTATCAAGTTTAGGAACCGACTGGTTAACCCTGCTCTTTTGTAACTGTTGATCTACGGAAAATGGCTTCAGGTGTCATGGTCAGGAGTACACAACAAAATCACATCTTCCATCGTCGTGAATTGTTCTTAGATACAAGTATTTAAAAGCCACAAATGGAGAATGTTATTCATTTTGTATCTCTCAGTGGGGAAAATGGACCAAAAACAAATCCAGAACGTAGATGAATTGGATGCTGTTGAATATGCATTTTGTTTCTTCAAGGTCATATAGCATTTCCCTCATACACTACATAAGATAGGAGATGAAGATGCTAGTTTGAGTTTTTTTTGTCAAATTGCTCTTCATCCCAAAAAAATTGGCTACTCAGTCTAGACCTTAGGGACACACAAGGTTTCTGACTGAAGCAACCTAGTTAGTTTTCTCAACAAAGATACGTCTTCTTCATATCAACTTGAATTCGGGTAATGAATGGCATCAAACTATGCATCCAGGTATTCAAAATACTGGTATGCAGGTGGCTGCAAGACTCAGAAAAATTTCAATATATACTAGGATGTATTTTGAGTCTTGAAGACTAGAGACTTTTAAGAATCACACATCCTGAATGTGTGTTAATTATTTAGTTTCTTGGATCTGGAAAGACGGCGATATTAATAAATTAAAATGCCTTCAATTTTCATCTACTAGATTTCCTTCTTTAGAAAATCATATTCGTTTTCAATACCTGGACCTGGAGAAATCCAATAAAATGAGAAAAGACTGTTTCATCATTCTACCACCAGATAAATAGACTGAATAAGGACAAAATGAAGCAAAAATGCTCAATCAAATTTTCAGAAGCGACGATCAAAAACCATTTGCTCAACAAAATTCATTATTTTGGATATCGTTAGTTAACAACTTTTTTGGTGGGTTTCATATTTTTCATTATAAATTAAATTATTTCAAATCCAACAAAAATCCTTTTCATAGTAGTATTTTAATTATCGAAACCAGGGCTTGATATTTCATCTTTTCACAAAACGAGGTACACCAGAGGACAAACAAAGAATTTTACCTGATTGGATAATGGAATTTGGCGCGAAACATCCCAAACAATGATTGAATTTTCACTGAGATTGCTTTTGGACACATCACTCGAGGTGATTAAATTCTTGCCATCAACAGTGAATTCTACATCAAGGACTGGACCAAGACTCCTTACATATTCATGGACCACCTTGCCACTCCTAATATCCCATAATTTGAGGCCGCCTTTTGACCCGCCAGACAGGAAAAGGTTGAAGTTGTGCGGATGAAATCTAACAACTTCTACAATTTGATCCTCCTTGAAAACCTGAAGCTCAGTCCCCTTTTCAACATCAATTAATCTTGACATGCAGTCGTAACCACAAGAGAGAACAAATAGACCCTGCTGAGACCATTTCACGTCCTTCACTGCTGCCTTGTGAAATTTCAACACTCTTGCGTACTTCTGGTCTCTACTCCATACATTCCATATGCAGATGGTATGATCCATTCCAGCAGATGCAAGAAGATGAGCTGCAGACTAACTTTATAAAACAAATCAAAAAGGAAAGCACAACAGGTAATAAAAAGTATATCCCAACAGAGGAAACAAATTGCATTACTACAGTTGGATCTAATTTTGAATCAATCTCTATAGTGAATAGTAGGAATCTTGGAGATCAATAGACATGTCATAAGCTTATCTTTTGAATGATGCTACATGCCTAAATGATGCATCAATTTTGAGCAGCATATTGAATGTGGCATAGAACCTCTTGCTCTCAAATCAGATATCAGAAAATCTCTTCCATATGCCCCATGATTAAAATATTTCATAATGGTCTTAAGTAAAGAAAATTCTTTCCGTTAACGAATTACATCATTTCCCTTCATCTTGAATCCCCTTTTCCATTACCCAGAGTGTCAGGAATATGCACCTATTTAGCATTTTTCCTTCCAAATTTCTTCATTCCGAAATGCGTGTCAACAACCTTTTCCCCTCTACGTCTAAAGGATTTAGCTTTCTTTCTCCTCTTTCCTCTATCTTCTTTTACTTTCTAGTGTTCTTTTCTTCTGTTTCTCTATTATTACCCCCACAGTGAAAAGAAAAAAGCTTCCAACCCTTCAATTAGCATTCAAGAATATTCATTTAGCATTCCTCTTATTTGGTGCTTTTCATTAAAGATGTAGAATGGCAATTATCCAGTACGCAAAAGCCTGGAGTTACCAGAATTGGGTTTTAATTAGATTGCTCTTTCAATCCATTTTAATGGATGGAAGACTATCGTCATGGCCCATGTGACATACCAGCTAATGTCCTACCCTTTCCACGACAACCCAATATACAAATCAATGCCAGTAAACTGTACAATACTTGAGCTATTTAGGTATCCAGAAAAAAAATCACCAATAAAATCTCTGAAACACCTCCACATAAAAGAGGGCTCTACCCATGTAGAACTTCAAGCATATGTTTTGCTAATGTAATTAAACAGAGATTTAATCATTTAACCAGGAAAATATCTGGGCAGACAATAACAGCATGTATAGTTGCATCAAATACTTACCATGAGTTCTAGACCATTGTACAGTGTTAACAGACTTAGTGTGCCCATAGAGAGCTATAGTAAGTGTCTTTGGAATTTGGGCTGTCCGTGCACCACCCTTTATTGGATTCCTCAATGTTGTCAAAATAGTATAAGGTAGATCAGAGTCAGAAAGGCTTCCTAGAGCTGTTGAAAAGAGAATACGCGGGCAAGTTAGGTAGCTGACCAAAAAGCAAAATAAATGTATAATGAGTTAACATACATGATACATCAGAGAACGTAAATGACCAACACCAGAAGTACACAGCCCCCAACTCCATGCACACTCATCTATTACTATATATGGTAAGCGAGACAGAAAGTGTTACAAGTAGCTTTTCAGGTCAAGTGTTGGAGGGAAACTGCACATCCATGCAAATCTTAAGCAGATAAGCATTTATGTATCCTCAATTCAGATATTTTTAAGACAAAATAAAAATGTCATGTTCAGTGTCTTTTAGCCATCTTCTTCTATTATTAAAAAAATAATAATAATAAAAAAAATAAAAAATAAATCAGGATGTCAGGTTGATACTTTGTTAAACTCGTAAACCAAATGAAACTTGCGCTAGGAAACTGCTTAATAAAGTCTAAAATTTGAAGCAATTTCATGCATGCACAAACCGGCTTCTTCTGGATTTGTAATTTAAGCATCACAGTAATATTAGTGGAGTTCACGCTAATTTGAAAAGTCTTTCCAGAGAAGGCAGACAGTGCATCTCACTTTACAGATTCCCAAAATTACATCTCATGCAGCAGCTTGTAAAACCAAGATGTATAAAGCGAAAGTTTAACTTCATTGAGTCGCTAGAGCTTGGATTAGATTTGTCACGACAAATGATCATTCAGGATTGCTCAAAGAGTACAAATTCCAAGTTTGAGCCTTTTGTACAGTTAATTTTTTCTTTCTTCTTTATAAATTTTGAATTACTTGAAAATAAACTCAATATGGCTTATTCACTCCCTATGGTCACAATTCGAGAGTAATTACACATCCTATAACAATTACTTTCAAATTTCATGCTTTGGCAACTGGATATATGACTCAAGAAAAATTGTAAACCAACTTATCTTCCCAATCAATTTACTCATCCTAACCTGAAAATCACTAAAGCCTTCTGGTAAATAATTAAATCAGCTGAAAAAGAATATTGTCATGTTCTTTTTCTTACTTAAAAAAATTGCTAAACTCAGAAATGGAAATTTCCTTACTGTCCTACTCGAACTCATACTATACAAAGCATAGTATTTCAGGTCGGATCCAATCAATCAATGTTTAATTTCTACACAAATTTAAACAAACCCCACAAGGTAAAGAAAAGAATAATTAACCTTACTTTAGAAGACCCAAAAAATGAGAGTAAATAAATAACCTGGTGGCGAATTGAAAGGAGGAGGCGGGTTCGGGCCTTGTACTTTAGGGGCCGAAGCTAAGGCTGCTCGTTCTCGCTTAGATACGTACCTTCCAGGAATCGGAGCTTCATTAGGGAGATTCGGAGCCGGATTGGGACGATATATATGCATGGGTTTTGGAATCGGATTCAGGTTCGGTCCATCGAGTTTGGCCCTCTTAACAGGCGGAGCCGGAGCCGACTGAAGATGTTCTGGTCGTTCTCCGTTATCGTCGTCGTCGGAAGCAGTTGAGTAAGCTCTGCACAGAAGATCCATTTTGATATGGGCCTGATCTCTCGCTGCCCGCAATTTATCCTCAATCAAAACGGGCCGATTCTTATGAAATCAGTGGTCTCCAAGCTTTCTAAAGTAAATTGATACAAATAGCATTCTTTAAAGAGCTATTTACTTTCATTAATTTCGAAATTTTATTTTTACTTTTTTATTCACTTTTATACACGGAGCCAAACAACTCCAGATCAATGGTCCCGAAGGCGGTGGGGTTCGATCTCACTGGCAAATCAGTTTCCATTTTTTAATTAAGGTTATTATTTTAGTTCTCAACTCGTTTGTTGTCCTTATTCCCAAGGTTTCCATTTTTTATCAATCAATTTTCCAACTTTTCTTTTTTAGCCACCGGTTTTTTAACCTTGTTTCTAATATTATTAGTTTTTGCCCGTGCATTGAGTTATTTTGAAGGCAATGTGATTGTGGTAAACGTGTTGAATTCTCATGAATAACTTCTAATGTTTACTGTGATTACACTGAGATAAATTTTCCTTATTGAGCATATAGAGTCTTATTTTTATGATTCCAAAACACAAAAAATCATTTTACATGTTGGACTAAGGACAACCAAGTTACTGAAAAAAGAAGACAAATAATACAATTTTTATTCAACTTGTAAAGATACCTAATGTTAGAAAATCAAATTAGATCCAAATATAAATTAAATCCTAGGATCAACATCATGCTAAATTATTAGGATTCACAGATTCAAATAATATACTTGTATCCATTGTAAACGATTGCCTACTGTTGCGGAATTACTGCGACAATCGACTACGTACCGATGAATGCAAATGAAGAGGGTGATTTTGTGATATTCCTCAACCAAATCTCCTTATTCCTCAATGGGACCATGATTTCTCTTCTTGATGGGGAGAAGGGAAAAGAGTGTATGATTTGGTATATTGGGGACCATAACCAAAATAACCTTTATATACTACTTAATTAAGGTTCCCATTATCCCTTAATTAGAGTAATATTAGCCGATATCTACTCACTTAGTCCATATTAATTTGAGTAGTATATGGGCATACAAAAAATAGACCACTTGATTTTTGCCCATTATATTAAATAACTAATATAATTGTATTAATATGTTGCCAATATTAATTTAGGAAAATCGTGTTTTTCTAACAATCTCCCACTTGGCTACATATTATTCCTTAAACAATTATATTACAAAACTCCTTAGGCGCGCATCTGTATGCTATTTATCATTAGACTGCTCCTTAAACAATTTTGTCCATCTCATATACTAATAATGGAACCACCGCAACTTTCATCACAATACATTAGTGATTAAACCACGATGATTAACATATTAATACACTTAATGACATAGATCAAATATGGATGAGTAGCATGGAAATTTATATGAAATGTGATCTCAAACATGCCTATTTCCAACTGGTCCTTCTTTAGTCTTTAGTGAGATCATTCCAAAGTCTTTAATGCAATGCAAACATTGCACAATGAAAATACAAGCAAACTCAGAAATAGAATCATAGACCATCAACTTTATTCTGCAGAAGGTTAAATAATTTAATGTCTAAAGCAAACATATAGAACATAAAATTGACTCCCACTAGTCTAGAATATCCTCGGAAATAACGCCCATGTGAGTAGTGTGCTCATGAAAGACCTTCGGCGTTAAGCCCTTGGTTAGTGGGTCCACTAGCATGGAATTTGTTCCTATATGTTCTATGGAAATCTGTTTATCTTGAACTCTCTCTTTAACAACTAGAAACTTGATATCAATGAATTTCGACTTTGTCGAACTCCTATTGTTGTTGGAGTAAAGCACCGCTGAGTTATTGTCACAATAAATCTTTAATGGCCTATCAATGCCATCTACCATTCGTAGTCCAGTGACAAAGTTTCGTAGCCATATTCCATGGTTGGATGCCTCATAACAAGCAATGAACTCCACAGCTATGGTTGAAGAAGCTATGAGAGTCTGTTTAGCAGACTTTCATGAGATAGCTCCTCTAGCCAACATAAAGATGTAGCCTGATGTGGAGCGTCTGCTATCTTGGCATCCCGCAAAATCGGAGTCAGAGAACCCGATGATCTCTAAACTATCTGATCTCCGATAAGTGAGCATGTAGTCTTTTGTTCTCCTCAAATAACGCATCACGCGTTTGGCTGCTTTCCAATGTTGCATGCTAGGATCACTCAAGTATCAACCCAAAACTCCCACTATAAATGCTATGTCGAGACGAGTACAAATTAGAGCATACATTAGGGAGAGACATACAAATTAGAGCGTACATTAGACTCCCTACCACTGATGCATAGGGAATCTTCTGCATCTCTTCTCTTTCAAGATCATTATTGGGGCACTGTTTGAGACTAAACTTGTCTCCTTTAGAGATGGGCGTGTCTCCTGATCTACTATCTTTCATGTCAAATCTACTCAAAACCTTATCGATATAGCTCTTTTGTGAAAGTCCAAGGATACCTCGAGAACGATCTCTCAGTATCTGAATACCTAATACAAAAGAGGCATCCCCAAGATCTTTCATCTCGAATTTCTTCGTCAGAAATTTCTTGGTTTCATGCAATAAGCCTATATCGCTGTTAGCGAGTAGAATATCATCAACATATAATACCAAGAAGATATATTTACTCCCATTGAACTTATGATATACACAGACATCAACAACATTTGCCTCAAAACCGTACGAGGTAATGATTTGATGGAACTTGTGATACCATTGACGGGAAGCTTGTTTGAGACTGTAGATGGATTTCTTCGACTTACAAACCATAGACTTTGGATCTCCTGATAGAAAGCTTTCTGGTTGTACCATGTAAATCGTCTCATCAATGTCTCCATTGAGAAACGCAGTCTTGACATCCATCTGATGTAGCTCTAGATCAAAATGAGCCACTAGTGCCATTATTGTTCTAAAAGAGTCTTTTGAAGATACCGGAGAGAAAGTCTCTTTGTAGTCTATGCCTTCCTTTTGAGTAAAGCCTTTAGCGACTAGACGAGCTTTATATCTCTCGACGTCTCCATTGAGAAACGCAGTCTTGACATCCATCTGATGTAGCTCTAGATCAAAATGAGCCACTAGTGCCATTATTGTTCTAAAAGAGTCTTTTGAAGATACCGGAGAGAAAGTCTCTTTGTAGTCTATGCCTTCCTTTTGAGTAAAGCCTTTAGCGACTAGACGAGCTTTATATCTCTCGACACTGCCTCTTGAATCCCTCTTGGTTTTAAATATCCACTTACAACCAATGGGTTTCATACCTTTAGGCAACTCGTCGAGATCCCAAACGTCATTATCTTTCATAAACTTTATCTCATCTTTCATGGCATCAATCCACTTCTGAGAATTAGAACTGCGCATGGCCTGATGGAAGTTGATCGGGTCATCCTCCGTTAAACCAACGCCATCCTCATGTTCTTGATGAAAGACGATATAATCATCTGAAATCCCATTTCTTCTCTCCCTAGTGGATCTCCTTAATAGCACTTCTTGAGGTTGTTGAGTTTGTTCTATAGGTGGTGCTTGAGGAAGAATCTCATTGTTGTCTTGGTCTGAAACAATGTCAGGAATAGGAGCCTGACATTGTCATCTATTGCCAGAACTGTGTCTTGAACAACAATAGGTACAGAGACCTGACTGCTGTCAATAACAGATTCTTCTTCAAAGACAACATTCCTTATGTTTCCTTCCCCTCCAAACTCAATATCCTCAAGGAATCTCGCATTTCCCGTTTCAAAGAAGGATCTTGATGTGGGATAGTAAAACTTATAGCCCCGAGAGCGTTCAGCGTAAACAACGAAACAGCAGCTAACCATCCTTGAGTCCAGTTTTCTTTCATGTGGCCTATAAGGTCGTGCCTCAGCTGGACAACCCCAAATGTGCAAGTGCTTAATGCTAGGCTTCTTGACTGTCCACAGCTCATAAGGGGTTTTGGCAACTGCCTTGCTTAGTACCCTGTTAAGAATGTACACTGCGGTCTTCAAAGCTTCTTCCCAAAGTGACTCTGGTAAGGAAGAATGACTTATCATACTCCTTACCATATCCTTAAGAGTTCGGTTTCGTCGTTCTGCAACACCATTCATACTAGGTTTGCCCGGCATGGTGTATTGCGGAACAATTCCACACTCATTGAGGAAAATAGCGAAGGGTCCTGGACGTTGTTCTCCTGATCAATCATATCTTCCGTAGTATTCACCACCATGGTCAGATTTGATAGCCTTTATTTTCTTTCCAAGTTGAAGTTCAACTTCAGCTTTAAAAGACTTGAAAACATCCAGGGATTGAGACTTCTCGTGTATTAAATATAGGTAACCGAATCTAGAGTAATCGTCTATGAACGTAATGAAGTATTGTTGTCCATTCCAAGAAGCCGTAGGGAATAGGCCACAGATATCAGTATGTATCAGTTCTAAGATGTCTGTAGCTCTCTCGGCACCTAATTTTCTCATGTTTGTTCTTTTCCCCTTGATGCACTCAACACAAACTTGGAAGTTTGTTAAATCTAGGGGTTCAAGAATTTCATCCGACACAAGCCTTTGAATTCTCTGCTTAGAGATATGACCTAAACGCTTGTGCCATAAAGTGGCAGAATTCTCACTTAATTTTCGCTTTGTACCACGTGAACTTGTCTGCAGTATTTCGTTATAGGAACTAACAATATCAAGTATATACAGATTAATCATATAACCGGAACCAACAAAATTTGAATTTTGAGAGAGACTAACTTTATTATTTCCAAATGAACAAGAAAATCCTGATTTGTCTAAACTAGAAATAGAAATTAAATTCCGTCTAAAGGACGGTGCAACAAATGTCTCAAACAAATCCAAATAAAACCCAATTTTTAATTGTAATATGAAAGTCCCTATAGCCTCTACCGCAACTTTATTGCCATCGCCCACAAAGATGAATCTTTCAGCATCATTTGGCGATCGGCTCCACAAGCAATCCTGCATGGACATACTTATATGAGTAGTAGCACCAGAATCCACCCACCAAGTATCCTTAGGTACAGAAGCTAAATTAACTTTAGAACAAACTAAAGTTAAAAGCATACCCTTCTTTACACGCCAGGCAGCGTACTTGGGACACTCCTTTTTCATGTGTCCCGACTTCTTGCAGAAGTAGCAGGTAAACTCCTTATCCTGCTTTTTTTGCTTCTTCTGCTGAGAAGTTCTTTCCACAGCATCCTTAGCTCTCTTCTTTTTCTTGTTTTGAGAGGTTGAGGCCAAGTGAGCACTCTCAGTCTTATCACGCTGTTGCCTCTCTTCTTCTTGCACACAGTGAGATATAAGCTCATTTAGGGACCATTTGTCCTTCTGAGTGTTATAACTCACTTTGAATTGCCCAAAGTGCGCAGGAAGAGAGATCAAAATCAAGTGCACGAGCAAGTCATCAGACAGCTCCAACTTAAGCGACTTGAGTTTTGATGCGAGATGAGACATCTCCATGATGTACTCCCTTATGTTCCCTTTGCCCTTATACTTCATGGAAACGAGTTTAGCCAAA